TAGTGGACAGAAAATCATCGCACGCGACTGCAACCGGTCGATGGCATCTTCCAAAATGGCGATGTCAGCCCACGGTCTGAACTCGCAGATTCTCGGTGAGAGAACATCTCGATTTTTCCTGAAATCGTTCCAAAACGTTGTCATCGTTAAGATTTATATCGGAGTTTTTCGGCGACCACGATTTAAGGTCCAGCGAGTCGCGTACGTTTCAATGCTGGGAAGCGACGTTTTCAAGAGGCAGAGGAATGGGACACCGACACGAATCAATATCCCCTTCCAGCAGTCGGGGATGGTCTTCTTTAGAAAGTGATAACTTCGGGAAAAAGGGAAGAGGGAAGCCAGCTTGGACTTCCCTCACCCCTTTTTCCTTTCCCTCTCGGCGGGATCTGCAAGCGAAGGTCGTTCAAGAGGGGAATCAGTACGGAACAGATTTTCGTGCAATGGCATGTTATTTTCCTTTTGACCATTTTCATACTCCACTAGTGTGGGCATTTATATCAATGGGAGAATCAAATGGCGTTTCTTTCATGAGGCATGTTTCACATATTGGCATTTACAGCATGAAATGCTAAAAATCACCGTCTTGGAGCGCATTTTCCGTAAATGTATAAATCTATATGCATTGGGAGATCTAGTATTTTTTTCGAGGCTCTTATTTTTCCTTTCTGAAACCTTCTGTCATGTAGAGATTGGAGGAACATGGCACGAAAATTGTGGATTCTTTGGAGTTGAATAAGCCTGTTACCAAACAGCTCAAGTCTACTCCTCGATGCTGATCCCGACCTTCGTGCAATTCAATTCTTTGATTCAATACTTTGAGATCCGACCGTCGGAATTCGACTCCAATTAGTTTTGAAATTATGTCGTGTCATTTTGACAATGCCAATTGCAATTAATGACGTTCCCAGAAGAAGAAATAAAAGCATTGCCGCCATCAATTGAAACTAGGGCTGTACCGATGTATCGGCTACCACCGGTATCGGCCGCCGATGTTGCACTATAGGCGCCATCAGCCATCGGCCGGTTTGCAAGCTGCGGATGCTGGTGTCTAAAGGAGAGGCTAAAATTACTGGTAAAACATGAAAAAAATTAGAGCGAACATGTGAACCCAAAAAATATCGATCGGATTATATTTCAACCATATTCTAGGAACTTGCTGAGGAAAATAGCGGTAAAGAACAGGAAATAATAGTCCCTTCTTTTTATGTTATGCATTTGCTAGAGGAGTGTCGTTAAACGCTCTTAACAGCAGCAATAGGTAACACTGACGGACACAGACAGACAGTAATAAATATGGCCTCTATCGTTTTCAGGGGCTTCCCTGAGAAGTATCTCATGGTTTCCAAATAGCCCTATATGAATTATTATGCATTTTCATGTTACTTCTCAACTTTCAGACAACCATCGGCACCGGCACCAGTCGATGGTGATGGGATGAAAATCGGCCATCGGTACAGCCATAATTGAAACATTTTCGAAGCATGTTTTTGCAGCATATTTTGCCTCTTTTTTTTTTACAGCATGAAAGCATATTTTGCAGATTTATAGAGCATGAGAATCCTCTCCTCACTCATTGGTCTTTCCCCTGGGGGATATAAATTTGTTGGGGTCGCTTTTCGCAGCCGTTCTCCCCAATTGTTCCAGCAATGCTGGACACGTTTTTCATCCACTGTGGAATTGCGCCGTTGAAATTCATCGCTCTTCGATGGATTCTAGCGTCCGTTTCTCGGATTCGACCACCGAAACGCAATCTTTTTTCAGTAGCCTACCCTGTATTAGTGGGTCTCTTTGAGCGAAACCGGTATTATCGGAACTGTGGTTACTTAACGAATCGAGAATCAAAATTCGGTTGTAAAGTTACGGTAACATTTCTGAAGCACATAACGACGTGACGACGATCGCCCAAGAATAAGACAGCTTATTATGTTGTTCGTCCTGAACCTGGTGGCCTTGGACGAGTGCTTGGATGGCGGTCCTCCGCTACTCCCGGTCGCTCATTACCAGCCGGCAGCTTCTTGGGGTCGTGTACCTGTGATTTTAGTTAACTCTTTAATGCATGGTGTAGCGGGTATACTGCATTCCGAGCCAAAAAAAAAATATTAAAACAATAGACAACGACAATAAAATGCAACAATACGGTGCATCAATAAAATGTTCGGACCCTCAACTTATAAATTTGACTTAGGAATTTTTCTTCTACAGTATTTTTCCCGAGTTCTAGAACTTGAGTGAAACCCACCAGGTTTTTTCGCAGAAAAATAAGAAAATAAGTAATTAAAGGGTTAACCGATCGATGTACAGTACGTCGGTCTGGATCTGACGCGGCGCATCTTACCCTATGTCGACTTGACTTCTTTAGGACTAAGTTACTGATCGTCGGTCCCTCGCCCTGAACTCACACGTCTCGCGAGCTTAAGCACACGACGCTTGACGATGTCTGTTTACTCGAGGCAGCTCGTCGTATAGCTCCGCATCGTAACGTCGGCTTACAACAGCCGACGTTAAGGACGTTTCTCAGTAGCGGATTAACAAGCGTTCAACCGATGTTCCTGGTCTTGTGGGTTGTATGCTTCGCAGCCGCGAAGTATGACTATCTCGACGGTTACTCCGAAAAGTCTAATCTTGTACCTGCGACTTAGGTTGGACGTTCACACGTTGTTCATCGCTTTACAGGCACGAAACGTCTGAGCGCAACTGATGCCGATGTCTGTCAGAAATTCGGAACCACGTACTCCGATACTCAAAGTCGTCCTCCCGATCTATGGGATCAGAGCCGGTGCCGAGAGGTTCGTCTCTGGACAGGAATGCCCGAGCTGCACATATGTCGTCTTGCTGCTACTGACGGCAAGTCCTACTCTGGCTTTGCCGCATTCTCGATACTTCTGAGGAGTTGCCTTGCACTCGCCAGGTCGGTCGTGGTTAATGCAGCGTCCTCGGCAAAATCTAAATCGGTTGGACACGGGACCGAGTTTCTTGCAGATCGTCCAGGTGGATGAGAATTCGCAGATTCGTCAGAGATGGCCTTCCTTGTGGCGATATCTAGCACGTCGACGAACCGATCGGAGTGAGCGTGCCGCCCTGGGAACGCCGGCCGAGGTGCCAAAAAATTGAAGAGCCATCAGGAGTTTGGACTTGGTTCACATAGAGCGACTTCATTACCTATACAATGATTTCTGGGATCCCGTCGACTCGGAGGATCTCGAACATCCGATCGCAGTCCACTCGATCAAAGGCCTTTTTTTTAAGTCTATAAAAATGACAACGAATGATAAGTTATTGTTGGTAACCCCTTAACCAACTTTCTGAGGCAAAGGATGTGCTCGACTGTGCCTCTGTGTTGACGGAACCCGTTCTGATTATTCCGCAGCGGCTTGTCAACATGAGGTCAGAATCTGTATAACATTATTCCGTTAAACGTCTTGGCGACTAGAGATGCCACGATAGTTGTTGCAATCTGACAAGTCCTCTTTTTTTGGGATGGGAATGGTCGAGCTAACTCACCCTTCGAGAGGATACCATAATATATTTTAATACTTGTAACGTAACGATAGAGTAAATTTTCTCGAATAGTTAAGTTACTCGATCCTGGTGGTAATGGAGCGTGGAGCGAAGAAAAGTTTCTGTCTTCAGCCGAAGGCACGCATTCCCGGGCTACCTTCACTGGCCACGTTTCCCGGTCGAATTTCCCTGCCACCTTCCCCCCAGATTCCTTTATTAAGAATAGATAATACAGATTTCAACACCACTAAGAATGTAGAGTTGAAAGCTCTGTTATGAATGATGTTGAAGGCTGAGATAGAGTGCGACTATATTTCTTCGCAAGACAGGACACATCCAGTCCTCTTCCTTCCCCCCTTCCCTGGAACTTCGACAGGGGGGAGGGGGGGGGGGGGGTGTTGCTCAAGAGTAGGAAGAAAAAAGTCCTCCTCCCCCCCTGCAATTACTCCCTCCTTCTCCCTGGTAAAAAAGAAAAAAAAGAAAGAAAAGGTATTTTAGTCTCTCTGTGGCTCATTATTGAGAACCTTCGCCAAGAGCGGTGGAGTGCTTCAAGATCGGACAACTCTGGGGTCAGTTTTTTCTTCCATGCTTTGATTTGAAACTCAATGTAAATCTGGTAAGCAGATTCCGGAATTTATGGGGAGTGATTCGAATCACTGTCGAAACTCGGGAGATCCGGAAGCAGATTAAATTCAACTTTTCCGGAAAAGTTTCCAAGAATATTTAGAATCTTCTGCTTGATCCATATTGTTGGAACCTCTGTCTTGGAAATGAATTCAGCTATGAGAGGTCATGAGTCATCATAGGTGTAACAACATGCCCAGAAGATAGGAACTATAATCCTTCTCATTCAGAAGAGAATTTTAGGGATGAAAACTTCTGCTTTAAGATTCGAGATTTCATTCCGAGATTTCTATCCCCTCTTTAAACCTGGAAACCAAATCTTGAAAATTGAAGCGCGATCATGAAATTCGGCATCAAGACCAGAATCACACACGGTTCGAAATTCAGGATTCAGGCCTGGGACTTGTTCGGTTCGTATTTCGTCATCCCTGGTCCCTAATAAACCCGTTTCACCACTGTCGCTGCTGATAGGACTAAAAACTCTCATCGGAGGGGGAGGGGAACTCAAGTTGAAAGATTTCTTCTTTGGGTGGAGGAAAAATGTGGATATCCAAGCACGAACTGGACGAGGGGGTGGGGGGGGAGGGGGAAGAGGTTGATGAGATGAGATTGTGAAGAGCCCAGGCCTTTCACATCCAGTGCGACTGCAAGGCTTCAATTGATGATGTACAGGCGCGTTCGTCTCCGTGCTGCCTGCTTACAGCACTGGAGGCCTCTATATGCACAGTAGAACCGCAATATTTGAGCGTTGTGGAGCAATGAATCCGGGGCCGCGGTTAGGCCCGCGAAGTGATTTTCACCACCCGCATATGCCTCGATGACGTCACAGGCAGCGAGCTGCTCAGGTTCTGCGAGAGGCAGGGGAGCAGCGCAGTTGGAGTCAGGGCTTCGAGGGGGTGGGAAGGGTTGCGCTTCCCTGTTCTAGTTAGGTTTCTCTCCTGTGCATCTGGTTCTTCCTGTGTGTGATATGACCTCGCATGGGTATATTATTGTGATTCGTTGGCCTCGTCTCTAGTCACAAGGCAGAAGATGGAGAGACCGACAGGACTCCAGCTTAAAATGGAGCCGAGCAGCCCCGGCCAATCCAGTTCATTCACATCGGACGCGTTTCCAGTGGACATTTCGGCACAGCCGGGTTTCTCCTATAATCAGACATCGCAGCAAGGCATGGATTTCGATTTAGAGCCTCAGTTGCGTGCTCGGAGCAACACGTGGCCCCTACATCGCCCCGAGGACCTCAAGGACGAACCGTGCCAGGCCTCGGCTCCTAACTCCACCGACTCTAGGGGCTCTGCCAAAGTGGGAGAAGTGCCGAAAAAGAGCACGAGTCGACGGAATGCCTGGGGAAACATGTCCTATGCCGACCTCATCACCCAAGCCATTCAGTGCTCTCCGGAACAGAGACTCACCTTGTCCCAAATCTACGACTGGATGGTCCAAAACGTCCCCTATTTCAAGGACAAGGGTGACAGCAACAGCTCTGCCGGGTGGAAGGTAAGAGATAGAGAGAGAGAGAAAAAAAAAGGAGTCCTGCCTGGATTCACGACCGTAAAACCTCGTGTGACCTGAGGGGAAGGTCGTATGGTCCCGTTAGAAGCCCCCTTTTGACAATAGTCACCCAGTGGACCTGACAGACGGAGGAGAGAGGGAGAGAGACTGAGTCTGTCGAAACCAGTTGAAAGGAAATCCCTCCTGCATGGAATAAGTAATACAGACCCGTTCCCTGTTACCTTGAGATAAAAGGGACCCATCTTATCGACGGCATTCTTATCAGAATTTCCAACGAGGCAGAGGGACGTGCAAGTAGCGTACGTCTTTCCTCCACTCCCTGAAAGGGCGAAAGGTGTGTCGGAGTTAGTTGAAGGGTCAGGCTCTTACACTCCCCCTCCCTGTTAAATGCGTCGATATGATAAATATGATGCGACTATATACGTATTATGTCATTTTGCGTGCCGTTTGTAATTATGTTCCTCGTAGATATATGACTTGAGGGTTTTCTCCCGTCCTCAATGACTTTTTCGGTTCGGAAACTCTACAACGCCACGGGTGTCCATTTTTCCTCCTATGACTCGGCAGGAAAACGTCATCTCAAAAGTTTTTGTACGAGGATGCTGAAAGTGCAGAATCAGGGATGACCCCTCCCGCGTTTCATCAGATTCAGATCCTCGTGGGAAATGAAGACGATCGCATCCGCGTCCATAAATTACGTGAAGATCGTTCATGAGGACAGGAATACAAATTCAGCTCACCTTAACAGCCCTGATAAAGCAATTTCAAAGGTGCTGAATACACTGCGTTGAAGCATCGCTTTTCCAGGAATCCAGTGTGATTGAGTTTGGAACGGAAGGAAGTCATTTCGGTCCTTATTCCTTAAGAACGAAGGAATTTCTTATTAATCGCCAGAAGGCTATTCCGGAAAAAATGTTTTTCATTCGATATGGAAATCGTTTGCCCTTGAACATTGCCCCATCGCATCAAGTTCTTTTTTTGTCAGTAGTTTCTAGCCTATGCTGCTTATTTTTTTTCCTGGTGGCGTAGGGGCAGAATATTCCTGTTTTTGAGTGTCTGAACTCTGGAGTCCTCGATGCGCATTTATCAAAGCTTAGCAGTACTAGTAGAAAAAAAAACTTTTCCAAAGACTTTTAAAAAATCTCCCGAAAAGCTTCATATTAGTGGAATTCGTACAAGTGAAATCGCTATCGGTCCTCACCCGCTTCCTGCCCGTGAAATATGGAGAAAAGGAGTGGGAGAGGTTAAGGTGGTGTGGGTGGTGGCAGTGAGGTGGAATTCCTGGCTTGTTAGATTCGGCATAGAGGATCTATAATACAATGCGGTGTGATGGTGGACTGGGAAGGGAGAGGGGGAGGGAGGATGGGTGGAGGCCATGTTGCCTGGAACGGAGTCCAAGCATCCAACCCCACGCCACTAAAAAGCTGAAGGGGGTGGGAGAGGGAATGGATTGCTTCGGGGCATCATTACGTCCCTTCCCTTCCCTCCCTCCCCCACCACCATTCACCATCCCCCCCCCCCTTCACCTCGTCTTCCTTCTTCCTTCCCATTGTACGTCTCCCGTCCTATGCTTCTTGCGCTGGAATCGCGCCGAGGCGTGCGTTGGAAGAAACAGGTCGCCTAGACTCATTCCTAATGAAAATCTGGCCTAGAGATTTTTCCTATTGAAATTCGTGTAGCATAAATATTTCGTCGTGGACCTTCACGGATCCAGATTTAATGCTTAACCCGTTAACTTCCGTTCTGAGTCTAAAGGACCCAGATGAAAAAGTTCAGCTATTTGTGTAGACTGCGTCGTAAAATTGTTAGTCCGATACTCCGTGTATTTACTTGAAGACATGTGATAGTAATTAGGCAAAGTATTTTGAATATATTCTCTCTGAATGAAGAGATGAAACAAAGGGTGAAAAAGACAATCAACTCTCCTCTCCTCATCTGTTCCTACAGTTTTTTGTTCCCCGCATTGGTGTTTGACCACGTTGATATTTATGAAATGCTAGGAGCTTTATATGTATAGGCACTCCGTACATCACTTGACCCTGAAAAGGAGTAAATTCTCTTGCGAATGTATATATATATAATTTGTGATTTACTACTGATATAGGATACTAATATGCTGATTAAAAGTTAGTCAAGTGAATTTTGAGTTATTTTGTATTTTGTTATGATGAAGGAATGCATATGAAAAATATGTACATTATTCCAGAGTTAACCGAGACTCAAGGCGCACGTCAACGATAGGAATTACCGTGTAAGAGAATAGGAGAATGTGGAACCTCAACCATCTATCAGATTTTAGCCTTTTGCTTGCGCGCACAGCGAATAACCGTCCCGAAGACGGATGACAGAAACAGATCTTTATTGTTGGTATGCAAATTTCTCAAATGTCAAATGTACCCGGTTCCTTCATTTATCATTGAATATCAGGGGTGGTCTCTTTAGGCCGCAGTAAAGATTTCGCATCTCTGACATTATACCAGCCAAGAGATCGTGAAAACTATCGGAATGGAACTGTCCGGGACTACTTGATTGTTCCTTGGTTCGACTGGAACCACGAGCTGCGTTGTCCCTAAAAGCCCTCTGTATATTTACAAGAATAAATAAATGAATTTGCTGGCGCATTGGAGGATCTTGTGCTGTCATTGCGAATCTTCTGTAGTTCATTTTGACCTATGAGGATAATCGCATTCCTTGTGGGTTTGTTAATTTCTGTGGGCTTGGATTTTGTGTCGGTGGTCCTGAATGAGCTGCCCTCCGCAAGGCTGATTACTCTTTTTTTGATTAACTTTTAATCTTAGTTTTTCGTGTTAGAGGGAAAAAAACTCAAGTTTGGTGTATTCACGACCTGGAATGTACTTTGTGACGGAAGATTTTCCTCGATGCATTCATATGAGATGACCTTGCAACCGTCCAGCGAATACATGTATACTAGCGGGTATGGCTCAGCATTCAAGTCGTATCACTCACATCTGCCAACTATATCCTCGAATAGACCATGTGTCTTGAACAATGGACGGAATCTTGGTGCGGTTCACATATCTCCGTTCTATTGTTGAGTGCTAGCTCAACAAATAAAATGCATGCAATATACGAAGAAATTTGTAACGAAAATTTGCGAATATCGAATGTAAATAGAGGCCAAAGAATAAAGAAACTTAGATGCGAAAACATGAGAATGATGTAAGTACTCCATCTAGATATTGAGAGTGCTGAGCCTTGAAGAAAACCTGTAGTGGAGAACTGCCCTCTCTTTCCAAGTTCTAGTCAGACTTGGAGATTTCGCCCCTGAGGAAGAAGCCAATTTCCATGCAGGCCTTGACGATTGGTTTCTGACGTGAATGCATTTCTTCCTCCATTTCTCATTTGCTGACTTCCAGGAAATGAAGGACTTCATCTTTGGTAATTGACGCAACTTTCTAATGATGGGGTGAAGGAAGAATGACTTAATGAAAGCCAGCTTAAACTTTTTGATGACTTTTGCTTAACCCTTTGAGGAGTATAACGTACCGGTACGTCCATACTCCCGAAAGGTTTAAGAAAACTCGCTCCTCAAAGTGTTAAGTAACGTAAGTTTTCTTACTCCTGAAAGGTAACGTTCAGAATAAGTGTGCCCGCGAGAAATGTCCAGTCACACCCTTACTGATAATATATTATGGTAACAACCTGGGGAGTGTGTAATGCAATTAATAAATTCCACGCCGATTTGGTGATCTAGTGCGTATGCACATGAAATGTAATCCCATTTGTCTAATTGTCAGTAGCTTTTTCGCACGTTAACATTTTTCGAATTATTTGGGAGGATATTCTATTCTTTCAAGTCGAATAAGCATTTTTTTATGCTCTTCCATTCTGGATTTGACCTAGTGTCAATGACTCGGTAGACTGAGAAATTCGAGGAGACAAATGTTTTTGTTTCTCCACTTTTTTTTGTGCAACTTAGGAGGTCGCAAATCTGGAAGGATGTTTTAAATTACATTTTGCTGGAAGAAGAGAGTAAGTCGAGATGAGACGGGAACGGTTGCGTCCAGGAAACAAAGTCAGTCCGAGGTTAAAGCCTCTGAATCTCCTGAAGGGAGGAACAGACAGACAATTGGCCTTCGCATCGTCCTCGTGCAACCCTGTCACATTCCATTTTTGGACGTGCCAGAGAAAGGGCTGGAGTGTCGTACGAGGTATTATAGTAAGGGGGGAGGAAAGATCTACCCCATACGAGATCTGGTGGCGAAAGGCGGAGGGGGGAGTCGAATGACACCGAAGAAGGAGGGGAAGCGGGGGGTGGAGGCGGTGGGGGAGGGAAAGGCCTTCCGAGTCCGGCAGACCTACGATTTCCCTTCTGCGCCTACTATATCCCTTCCATGGCCTCCTCCCCCTCACCCTTGCATAATTTAACGGATTGACCTGCTGTCCTCTTATTTTCCCCCGATCAGATATACCACAGAGATAATTAGGTCTATCCTGAGTATCGATGATGTATTATGCCTGCCGTGTAACTGGCTCCTGCAACGTCGCAATATTTCGCATGATAGTCAGAAACACTGCTGATCTCGTGGTTGAAATTCATGTAATCCTTTTTTCAGATTCGATTGAAATTTAGACGGATTTCTTTTTAGGTTGCCAAATTACCGTGTCATTCTTTGTGTGACCGTCACATCTGCCAAATACAGTCGTACAAGAGGACAAAAAAAAAGGTCACGTCACCAAGACCAAGTAGAGAGTTCTGCCAGGTATCTTTCATCCCAGGCTTTTTGTTAGACTTGTTTCTCCAAGCGAGGACGAGTTTCTGGCGTCTGAGTGAATTTTAAGGAAAAGAAAGGACCAGGTTCCACCTCGTCCATATTGGGGCCTAATTACGCCATCAAAGACAGACAGGAATCCAGAGAGAGAGCGCGCGTGAGCGCTGCCCTTAGGGGGTTGAAGAGCGAGTTGCGGAAGAAAGCCGTAAGGCGATCCAACCGAGCGATAACTCCCCCCATAACCCCATGCGT